GGCACTGTGGACCACGCTGCGCCCCAGAAGCAGTCAGGAGCAGGCCCGGCTCCTAGGCGGAGGTGTGCAAATGGCTCCGCGTGGCTCTTGCCTGCAAGCACCGCCTCCCCGGATCCCATTGGCCCTTTTCCAGCCAATGGGAGTGTGGAGCCGGTACTCGGGGCGGGGGCGTCATGCAGAGCCCATGGTTCCCTCGCCTAGGAGCCGGACTTGCTGCTGGCTGCTTCCGGGGCACAGCGCGGTGTCAGAACAGGTAGGGACTAGTCTGCCTTAGCCGGGACTTTTAACGGCCTGGTCGGTGGTGCTGACCAGAGCCGCCACGACCCAGTGCCTTACATTCCGCGACCCAGAAATGGGTCGCGACCCACAGTTTGAAACCCACTGGTATAGAGAGCAGATTAAACAAGTCATGGCCTGTATGAAATTAGAGTTTCTACTGACTTTGCTAGTGCTTTTTATGTAGCGTGTTGTAAATCTAGGCAAATATCTAGATGGATTGCGGTACCCCCAGCGGTACACGGACCCCTGGTTGGGACCCACTGCTATAGACTGTTATCCAAAGGCCCAGGGCTGATGATGGCAGTAAAACCATCTGGCCAGTAGATGGCAGCGTATGTGCAATTCAGGTGCTTGTCCTACGCCTCCTGTAACAGCTGAGCAGGCTGGTCCCAGACTATACATTATTACAGTGTAAGGTGCTATGGACGCAGGGCTGGACTAGCAGGGGGCTGTGGGTCAGGAGTGAAAGGCACTGACGGAGCTGGGGGTGGGGGGAGCCCAGGGCTGGTTTAGCACCTAGAAGGTGAAAATTAGGTTGAACAAAGGGGGCAGCTGAAGGTCATTCGGCGAGGAAGCGTCTAGAGCATTTTCTGGTCATATGGATTTAAAGCCAGCCACGAGATGCTAAGACAACGACCTTTACCTGTTCAGCGCCTGTAACCCAACACCCGGTCGGCACAGACGGCGCCGAACGACTGAAACCCAGCTGGCCTCTGGCACCTGCAGATAGCAACAACCTGTTAATTTCTCACCGTCTGTCTTCAGGGCCCCAGGCTGACTCAGGGGTGCAGGGAATGGGGCATGTGGCCTTTCCCCTCAAGGAGGCACTGGCTCCCACCAGACTCCAGGGCAGGGACTGGCTGGCTCACGGGGGGGCGGGTAATGGGACACAGGGCCTGTCCCCTCTAGCGGGTACTGGCTCTGATCCAGTCCCAGGGTGGGGACTGGATGGCTCAAGGGGGTGGTGAATGGGGCACAGGGCCTTTCCCCTCTAGGGAGGACAAGCTCTGATCTAACCCCAGGGCAAGGGACTGGCTGATATCAACATTGCTCCATTGGACTTAATGGGGCTAGATCCCCCTTGGGGTCAATCAGCTGTATCTCCATTGGTGTCAATGGGCCAGATTCAAGTCAATGGAACTGTCCTGATTTGGTCTACCTGAGTAATGTAGCTTTGCATGCCCTGTGCCACCAGCCATAACCTCTTCAGATGTTTACCACCTGCCCTTTAGCCCAACAAAACATTGGCAAATAGTTGAGTCTGAGATTGCTCTTGAAGTTAAAACCAAGTCTGTCACAACCGGCTGCTTATAATTCTTTACTTGAGAGACTGTGTAAACTCAGTGACGGTTAACTCTTTACAAGATCCAGCTACGTGAAGAAACCAGATCTCCTATTTAATCTGAAATCCCCAGCTGCTGGAGGCATGTGACTGGGGAAAATCTCAGCCCTCACTACCACAAACAAACAATCAGTTTCTAGTCTTCATAGTTTGAGGTGAGGAGCTGGAAAACATGAATCCAAAAGAACCAGAAACCCAATAAAAGGACCTCAAACCGATCATTATTATTCAAATCTCATGATTTTGAAGCCAATCTTGTGATTTTTTTCAGGGGGCTGAGCTCATGATTTTTCATCCTCTCGGGCTGGCGACAGGAGCTGGTTGGAATTTGCGGCCCATGGGAAATTCTGACAGTTCCAAATTTCCTTTCATCCAAAGCTGTAATTTCAAAATTCCCCACAAACCCAGCATTGTGTCAGAAATAGCAAAACGGCCTTTACAAAACGTGAAGCGCTTCATTGCAGTGCTATTTTTTTTAATCTATTATATTAGAATCAGAGGAAGGGACCTCCAGAGGGCATCTAGTCCATCCCAGGTGCTGAGGCAGGACCAAGTCAACTTAGACCTGCCCTGACAGGTGATTGTCCAACCTGGTCTTAAAACGCTCCGGTGATAGGGATTCCACAACCTCCCTTGGGAGCTCATTCCAGAGCTGAACTGCCCTGAGAGACAGTTTTTCCTAATATCCAACCTCCACCACCCTTGCTGCAGATTAAGCCCATTGCTTCGTGTCCTACCTTCAGTGAACATGGAGAACAATTGATCTCCGTCCTCTTTATAACAGCCCTTCCCACCACTGAGAACGGTTATCAGGTCCCTCCTTAGTCTGGGAAACTGAGGCACAGAGTGGTGACTACTTTCCCCAAGGTCGCTCAGCCAGCCAGCGGCAGAGTTTGGAATAAAACCCAGGTCTCCTGAATCCCAGTCCAATATATAATGGCGTACATTTTTCACAGCGAGGGCAATTCACCATTGGAACAGTTTACAAAGGGTCATGGTGGATTCTCCATCACAGGCCATTTTTAAATCAAGATGGGATTTTTCCCCCCTAAAAGATCCGCTCTAGATTAACTACAAATCAATTCAGGACAGTTCTCTGGCCTACGTTACAAAGGAGGTGAGACTAAATGATCACAATGGGCCCTTCTGGCCTTGAAATCTATGAGTCTATGGAGATGTATTTTATTTAGGCTGGGAAGGATTCGATTGTTATCAGCCATTGTCGGTAAACGTCAATTTCACTGTACACACACCAAAAAAAAATTTCATCGATAATCATTGCAATTTACAGATGGGCAAAGTAAGAAAAACGCCGCTTGTGACCGTCTTTGAGTTTGGTTGAAGGCGGTTTACTTTGTATATTCTGTCAGGTGATGTTGACGATTTGTATTTGAACGGTTATAAAGCTTTGAACTTTGTGAATCCCATTATCTACCGCCATTAAATAGTTATTGTCTCTCCTCCCTCCCCAAACTTCCCTGCAACTGTGAGATGTGAAGTCGATCAGAAAAGGTCTAAAATGTGTGCTTAAAAACAAACGATGTCATAAAATAATAAAACTGGAATCCTGCCAACCCTCTTTTGATATTAATTATATAATAATCCACACAATGAAACGCCTTGGCCTTAACTTTTTCATAATTTTGCTTCAACAAAAATTGATTTCCTCCCCCGCCCCGAAACATCTCCATGTTGTCAAATCAGTGTTTTCTGATGGGAAACTGCTCCATTGGAAAATTTTGAACCATCTCCCTTGGAAACGCTTCAGCCGTCACCTGCCTTCTACCAGTTGGGGTCCGTCTACACTGTAGCTGGAGGTGAGATTCTCAGCTCGGAGAGACACCCCCCTGCTAGCCGTGTAGCCCCAGCGGCGTGATCCTGTCCCAGATCTTAGCTACATCCTCAGGCAGCCAGCCCCACTAGCTGTGGCTAAATCGTCTATTTTAAGCATGCTACCTCCATCGAAGCTAGCTCAGGTACGTCTACCCACACTGGGAATTACACTGAGGGGGACAGGGCAGCCCAGCACCCTGTCTTTTTCTGGGAACGCTTCGTCCTTTTGAACCCTGTGGTTTGCTAATATTCTGGGCCTGGTAGGGTTGCAAGTTCCATTAGGAAGAGAAATGGATGCTCTGAATCAGGTCCATTCTTTGGTACAATCCTGTTTATTTACTGAGAACACACACACACTATCCTTATTCCCCGACTGCTGTAGAAACAGGTGGCAGCAGGCAGCTTCTTTGCACCACAATGCCCATGCCTGCCTCTCCAGCGGGCTCTGTGCCCAAGAAACTCTGTCTCTCTGCTCCCTTTCTGGGTCTCACACAGATCTCCTGTTCCAGATTTCCTGCCTCCCATGCACATGGTCTGCAGCCACTCTCTTCACCACCGTGTTCACAACCAGGGAATAACCCACACGGCCCAGCTCTGACCGGACACATGCCTTGGGTGGTAGCTTCCACTGCCTGTATCTCTCTCTACTCCATAAATTGGCTTCATTTCTCCTTCCATTGAGCCTGAAGCAGTGTGTTTAGGACACCCATTGGCTTTAATGCAACTTGTGACTGTCTCACACACAGTCCCAACTCCACAGTAAGACGTTCTGAAATAATCTGTAGATCTGAGCAGGTATTTCCTGGCCTGCAACATTTTTGGGGGAGATTTTGAAAAATTTTCCAGTGCGAAATGGGGAGGAAACATAAAAAAATCTCAAAAATGTTCACAAACATGAAAATCTGGGGGGGGGGGAGAGGGGGAATTTCAATTTGGGTTGATCAAAATATTTTGGTTTGATCATTTCAACATGTTTCATTTTAAATGTTGACCATTTGAAAACTTTTTAAAAACACAAATTAGCCTAAATTTAAAAAAGAAAAAAAGCATTTGGGGCCGGAAAGGTGGAATTTTCATTTTGGATATTTCAAAATGTGAGCTGGCGACAACTTTGAAAGTTTTCTTCCAAAACTTTTTTGAGTCAAGAAACTCCACAAAACTGAGCCATTCACACAAAGACTTACAGTTCTGATGAATCTGTCTCCTAATCCCCAACACAGACAGACCCCAAATGAGATCAAAGCCCTCCGTTGTGCTGGACACTGCACAGACGCACAGTGAGTGACTGTCCATGCCCCATTGTGTTTACAGTCTAAATAGACAACAGAAGGATTACTACCCCTATTTTATGGATGAAGAAATTGAAGCAGAAGGCGAGAGACAGATTCAGAGATTGGTCTTAGCTCACACTCATAACGAAATAATGGGAGACCTGGAAAATAGAACCCAGGAGTCCTGACTCCTCGCTCACCCAGCCCTAACCCACTGGACTCTGTTCCCTTCCCAGAGCTGGGGATAGAACCCAGGAGTCCCAAGTCCTCCACTCTCAACTAGTCTGTCTGATGCTCTGCGATGTCTCCATCTCACCCGATCCCTCCTCTTCCTCAGCCAGGGCCCTGCGGAAGATGCCCAGGAAGGAGCCCCTCCGGCGCCCTCTGCTCCGGGCATACCCCATCAGCCCATACAGCACAGGGTTGAGACAGCTATGGAGGTAGGCCAAGGCGTTGGCCAGCTTGAGCGCCACGCCCCAGATCTTTTTGTCCGCCTGGTACGTACTGAGCAGCACCAGGACGTGATGGGGCAACCAGCAAACAAAGAAGAGAGCCACCACGGCCAGCACCAAGGCGAAGGTCCGCTGGGAGCCCGCCCAGCTTCTTCTCCTCAGCTTCCAGGTCAAGACCACGTAGGATGTGGCGATGACGGCAAAAGGGACCAGAAACCCACCCAGGAACCGGCTCAACCTCAGGGGCATCTCGACGAAATGCCGCAGGTGTCTCTGGTAGACGCAGAAGGACTCCCCCTGTCTGGTCTCCACATCCCTGAACACCAGGTAGGGGACGCTGAAGCAGATGGCCAGGAACCAGGCCCCAGCTATCAGCCAACACCCAAGCCGGGGCCTGTAGTGGTTCCGGACCCAGACAGGCTGAGCCACCAGCAGGCAGCGGTGGAGGCTGATGAGGGTGAGCACGAAGACGCCGGCGAAGACAACCAAGTAGCGAGAGAAGGAGTGAAGCTTGCAGAGGGCTCGGCCGAAGGGCCAGCGGGACCTTAAGGCCTCCTGGACGATGGCAGGGATGCGCCCGGCGGAGAAGAGCAGGTCGGCCACGGCCAGGTGGAGGTAGCAGGCCGAGGGGAAGGTGGGCGGCCCGGCCCGGCCGGCGGTGGTGATCCAGATCACCAGCCCATTGCCGGCCAAGCCCAGCCCCAAAACCAGGGCATTGGTGCTGATGGCGATGTGCCGCATGGTGTCCTCCACAGCCCCGGTGGCGTTGTGGGGGGCACGGGAGCCGTTCATGGCTAGGAGGCGAGGGAGGCTGCTGGGGGTGTGTGAAAGAGGCCCAGTGAGACATTGGCCACAGGACCCCCTCGTTCCCCCAAACTGCCACCTCTCCTCTGGCCCCAGCCTCCTCACACCTCCCCCCATCCCCCACCTCCCCAAAATCCCCCCTTTCCCTGGACTCCCAGTCCCTCCTCCCAACCCCCAACCCCCCCATTGCTCCATGCCCCTGACCCCTCATCCCCCAGCTCCCCAAACTCCTGGCCCCCTCATTCCCCCATCATGCTGCTCCTCCCCCCCAAACTCTATCCCCATCCCCCACCCACACTCCCAGCCGCCCCATCCCGGAAAAAGTGTTGGGAAACCACACAGCTCTGCGGTCTCACAGTCACCACCACAACTTCCGCCCTTTGGGCCTAGATTACCAGATTCCGACCCCAAGGGCACTGAGCCCGCCCCTGCCCCCGCCCCTCGCAGGCAGGGGAAGGGAGCATCACCCAGTTGTGCAAAGTGAACCAGCGCTCTTACGAAACCTGGGAACTGCCAGCGGACATGTCAGTTATGCAGGTGCTCTAACCACTAGACTCCCCTCCCCTCCCAGAGCTTGGGAGAGAACGCAGGGGTCCTGGCTCCCAGCCAGCCCCTGCTCTAACCATTAGACCCCACTCCCCTCCCAGAGCCAGAGATAGAACCCAGGAGTTCAGACTCCCAGCTGCCTCCCCATGCTCTAACCACTAGACCCCACTCCACTCCCAGAGCCAGGGTTAGAACCCAGGAGTCCTGACTCATAGCCCTCTTTGCTCAAAGGGAATCCAAGCTTACCCGGCTATGTATTGGGTGGGCACCAGGGGAAAGGAGCGACCTCTTCCCCTACCACCGCCGGAGCAGTCGATGGCCCGGGGCAGCTCAGCTCCCTCGTGGGGTTGGGTCCCACGTCTGAAGGGTTCCTCTGAGCAACGGGCACTTCCCCTTCCAGAGCTTGGCGGAAGGACCCAGGTCACGTCTTGGTTCCCACCACAGCAGTTTCCCAACCTGCACTGCACAGGGCCGACGGTCTCTGCAGATCCCTGACCTGGCCTTGCCCTGCACAGATCCCAGATCCCCCTCGGCAGATCCCTGACCTAGTTTTACCCTTCACAGCTCCCAGCTCCTCTTCCCCCCACCCCATGCAGATCCCAGCTCCCCCCACCTCGGCAGACCCCAGTGGCCAATGTGGGACCAGCCCATTTCTGGACCCCAGTGAGCAGGTGGCCAGCATCTCCCCTTGCACATGGCTCTGCCACAGCAGGAAGGGGTGGAGGGGGGAAAGTGTTCAGACACCTGCTTGCAAAAGAGACTTCCAGGCTCATCTCACTGCTGCAGGGTGTTGCACAAAGATAGTGTTACAGGGAAGGGGGGTGGGGGTGTTGTAGCAGAGGCTGGCCCTCAGCGTGTTGCTGGGAGCGATGAACCGGAGAGGTCAAAGCACGGAATACACCACTCCCCTCCCAGAGCCAAAGATAGAACCCAGGCGTCCTGGCTCCCAGCCAGCCCCTGCTCTAACCATTAGACCCCACTCCCGTCCCAGAGCCAGGGATAGAACCCAGGAGTTCAGATTCCCAGCTGCCTCTCCATGCTCTAACCACTAGACCCCACTCCCCTCCCAGAGCCAGGGTTAGAACCCAGGAGTCCTGACTCGTAGCCCTCTTTGCTCAAAGGGAATCCAAGCTTACCTGGCTATGTATTGGGTGGGCACCAGGGGAAAGGAGCGACCTCTTCCCCTACCATTGCAGGAGGAGTCGATGGCCCGGGGCAGCTCAGCTCCCTCGTGGGGTTCGGTCCCACGTCTGAAGGGTTCCTCTGAGCAATGGGCACTTCCCCTTCCAGAGCTTGGTGGAAGGACCCAGGTCACATCTTGTTTCCCACCACAGCAGTTTCCCAACCTGCACTGCACAGGGCTGATGGCCTCTGCAGATCCCTGACCTGGCCTTGCCCTGCACAGATCCCAGATCCCCCTCGGCAGATTCCTGACCTAGTTTTACCCTTCACAGCTCCCAGCTTGTCCCCTTGCTGGATCCCAGCTCCTCTTCCCCCCGCCCCATGCAGATCCCAGCTCCCCCCACCTCGGCAGACCCCAGTGGCCAATGTGAGACCAGCCCATTTCTGGACCCCAGTGAGCAGGTGGCCAGCATCTCCCCTTGCACATGGCTCTGCCACAGCAGGAAGGGGTGGAGGGGGGAAAGTGTTCAGACACCTGCTTGCAAAAGAGACTTCCAGGCTCATCTCACTGCTGCAGGGTGTTGCACAAAGATAGTGTTACAGGGAAGGGGGGTGAGGGTGTTGTAGCAGAGACTGGCCCTCAGCGTGTTGCTGGGAGCGATGAACCGGAGAGGTCAAAGCACGGAATACACCACTCCCCTCCCAGAGCCAAAGATAAAACCCAGGTGTCCTGGCTCCCAGCCAGCCCCTGCTCTAACCATTAGACCCCAATCCCGTCCCAGAGCCAGGGATAGAACCCAGGAGTTCAGATTCCCAGCTGCCTCTCCATGCTCTAACCACTAGACCCCACTCCCCTCCCAGAGCCAGGGTTAGAACCCAGGAGTCCTGACTCGTAGCCCTCTTTGCTCAAAGGGAATCTAAGCTTACCTGGCTATGTATTGGGTGGGCACCAGGGGAAAGGAGCGACCTCTTCCCCTACCACTGCCGGAGGAGTCGATGGCCCGGGGCAGCTCAGCTCCCTCGTGGGGTTGGGTCCCACGTCTGAAGGGTTCCGCTGAGCAATGGGCACTTCCCCTTCCAGAGCTTGGTGGAAGGACCCAGGTCACATCTTGTTTCCCACCACAGCAGTTTCCCAACCTGCACTGCACAGGGCTGATGGCCTCTGCAGATCCCTGACCTGGCCTTGCCCTGCACAGATCCCAGATCCCCCTCGGCAGATCCCTGATCTAGTTTTACCCTTCACAGCTCCCAGCTTGTCCCTTAGCTGGATCCCAGCTCCTCTTCCCCCCGCCCCATGCAGATCCCAGATCCTCCCACCTCGGCAGACCCCAGTGGCCGATGTGGGACCAGCCCATTTCTGGACCCCAGCGAGCAGGTGGCCAGCATCTCCCCTTGCACATGGCTCTGCCCACAGCAGGATGGGGCGGGAGGTGGAAAGTGTTCACACACCTGCTTGCAAAAGAGACTTCCAGGCTCATCTCACCGCTGCAGGGTGTTGCACAAAGATAGTGTTACAGGGAAGGGGGGCGGGGGTGTTGTAGCAGAGGCTGGCCCTCAGCATGTTGCTGGGAGCGATGAGCTAGAGAGGTCAAAGCACGGAATACACCACTCCCTCCCAGAGCCAAAGATAGAACCCAGGCGTCCTGGCTCCCACCCCCACTCTAACCACTAGACCCTATGACCCTGCCAAACCTGGGAAGGAACCCAGGAGTCCTAGCTCCCAGCCCCCCCTGCACTAACTCACTAGACCCTATGACCCTCCCAAAGCTGGGGATGAAACCCAGGAGTCCTGCACCCCATCTCTGCCCCCAACCACTAAACCCCTCTCCCCTCACAGAGCTGGGAATAGAATCCATGAGTTCTGAACCGAGGATAATTGAGCTATACTGATTTATATCAACACAAGATCTGGCTTGTTCACTCCATGCTCCCACTGGATTTCGAGATCAGTTTCCCAAACTAGTGATTTTCAGTGTCTCCATGGTTGGGGGTGGGGTGCCCATCTTGACACCACTTACAGGGGCCAGATTTTCAGAGAACGACGACTCAGGTCTTTCTGAAAAGCAGGGCTCTTTGAAGGAGTTGCATGTCAGGAACCTCCAGAATTTACAGGCAACCAAAATGAAGGACCACTTTAGAAAGCAGAGGTCTGTAGCCCTTCGTGTTTTTATAAGAATCTCCTGCAATGAAGCCACAGAACTTGGACTTCTGAAAAAACACAGCTCTAGAAGGAGAGATCATTGGTCCATGCACTTCGTCAGCAGAATGGAGAGTCTTCTCTATTTTAGATACAGCAGCAGGAGGGGGTTTTCTTTTAATTAGATCACTGTTCTGGATATTTAAAACCATTGATAGACCTAGAACCATGAGGTTATACAACCAGACAGGAGCCTAGAACCCCACCATTAAATCAGTTTTACTACATTGACTGGCTTTAGAACTGATGCCATTGTAGAACAAATGGTATCTGATCAGGTTTTAATATTTTGAGAGCACAGAAGTTTCTAGAAACAGCCAGGATTCTGGAACCCACAAGACACCACAGAGTTTTAAATCATTCAGAAATCATGATTTTAGTACTACTCAGAAACCTAGAGCCCACAGGACCCTACCTGGCTTTGGCACATTGAGAGATCTGGAACCCATGGGATATTATGCTGTGCAAAACTATTTGGACATATAAAAACTACAAAGGTTATAGCACCAGCCTGGAATCTAGAACACATGGGAGCCTATCATGTTTAAAACCATTTGTAGACATGGCACCTCCTGGGTTCTAGAACCAAACAGGGACCTGGAACCTTCTGGACCCTACTGGGTTTTTTAAACACACCAAGAAACGTGAACACACATGATTATGGGGCTAGCTAGGAATCTAGAACCCAAGGGACTCTATTCAGTTTTAAAACATTGAGACACCTGGAACTCATGTCCAGAATATCCAAGTCTCTAGAACCCACAAGATTCCAAGTTTTTCTCCATTTCCATGGTGTCAATTTCTGGCCCAGGTCTCCTACTAGATTCGGGTCCAGACCCATCACTACTGAGATCCTCATCAAAAGCTGCTTTGACCAGAGCAAACAGAGACGTCCTTGCCACCTGCTGGAACGTCCCCCCTACAAAAAGGTAGAGGACTGGGGTGAAACAGACGTTGAAGCAGAACATGATGATGAAAATGACCAGGAAGCTGCCTGTTACTGACTGCGGCACATTTCTGTAGAACATCAAGGCATAGTAGAGGTGGTAGGGCAGCCAGCAGAGGAAGAAGGAAACCACCGCAGCCACCATGACTTTGAAGGGTTTCCCACTCTGTGCCAGGC